CACCCCGCGGCGGCGGCCCGGCGGCAGTCGGCGGGTCCGGGGGGCGGCTGCGGGCGCTGCTGGAGCAGCCCATGGCGGGGAGCGGCGGCGGCAGGAGCTGCGGCCGCTTCCCCACCGCCCGAGCCCGGGGCGGGGTGAGGAGGGGCCCGAGGTGCCGCCGTGATGCACCGAGCCCGGGGGGGTGGCCCCGGCCATGGTGCTTTAAAACACACACACCCATACCCACACCCACACCCTCCAGCCAGGTTGGGCACGGAGCAGGAGACCCGTGTGAGAGGGTCCAGGGGCTGGGCAGCGATGTTAGTGGGCTAGAAGTGAGGTTTAGTGGGGTTTAGAATCTTTAAAGTCTCTTCCACCTCTAACCATTCTATTAGGCAGACTTGGGGCCATGCTGATGGTTGAGGGTCCGTGAATGTGGTTGTGCTTGTGATCCTGAGGTGGATTGGGGTGGGGTTTCTTTAGGAGCCCCAGTGCGGACCAGCTGGAGAGGAGCGTCAGGACTGGGCTATGTGCATGTACAGACACCGTGCTCTCTCTTAGCCTCCCGGGTGCCTGTGCCTGGATACACGCATCAAATCAGAATCATCTGGGTCAGAAGGGACCTTCAAGGTCATCTAGTCCCCGCAGTCAGCAGGGACACCCCCAACTAGACCAGGTTGCCCAGGGCCTCGTCGAGCCTCACCTTGACTAATCCAAGGCTGGGGCCTCAACCACCTCCCTGGGCAACCTGTTCCAGTGCGCCACGACCCTCATAGTAAAGAACTTATTCCTAATGTCTAATCTAAATCTGCTTTTCTCCAGTTTAAAGCCATTAACCCTTGTTCTGTCATTGACAGCCTTTGTAAACAGGCTCTCCCCAGCCTTCCTGCAGGCCCCCTCAGGTACTATTAGGTCTCCCCGGAGGCTAATAACGGGGGGCTCAGCCTCGCTACTGGCCCTCCCCATGAACGGGAACAGCAGCGGATGCATCTGTGGGACTGGGATGGGGAGTCCTCTGGGGTCTCAGCAGCCGGGAAGGCAAGGAGAATCCCCAGGTCGCAGAGTCCTCTGGACCCAGCAGCCACCTGTAACATCCCTCCCACCAGCCTTAAAGGTAAAATAAAGCTAATGTGATTTTTACATTTGCATATAGGCAAATCAGCAGATGTCCAGGGAAGTCTAAGTGCCTTAGAAACTTTCCAAAGAGTAAGAATGAAGAATGTTTACCCTGTATTTGTTTGCACAAGCAGGGCCAGTGTATTTTATTTATTGCACCCAAGACATGTTTCATTATGTCCTTCACAGCAATCACCCATTCTTGTAAATATATGTTTGGTTGTTTTTTTTTTTCCATCCAGAAACTTGTCCAGACAAAATGTATTGTCTTTGGACATTTGTCCAGGGTTTATTGATGTCCTGAAGCCAAGGTGGGGCAGCAGCAATAACTCCACCCAGACTGCAAGACACATGGAAATCCTGGACATATGGTATACACGATGGGACCTGTACTACCCCTGTAGCACAAGTGTGAAGCTCTGGTACACATGGGAAAGACTGATGGAGATAAGGTATGCATTGTATGGGTATAAGGTGTACCCTGGAGCCATCAGAGCCACTGTGTGTCACTCTGGGAAATCACCTGGCAAATGTGTGAGGAGCAACAGAGAGGGAATACACCATGTAGGCCTAAACACATTAACTTCTGCTTCCTCAGCTTGAGTTCATTTTTGGGGTGCTTTTTAAAAATAAAATAAATAAAAAAAACCCAAACTGTAGGCTGTATAGATTTGTCTGTGGCTGTATATAAGATTTATATAAGATAGGCACCCACCTATTGCCTACAAACTGGGATGGGTTGTGCTGCCACGGGTATGAAAGCAGAAGATGAAAGGATCCCAACAGCTGAGGAAGCTGCCCGCAGACGGCACATACGTAAGGGAGGGATGACAAACATATCTGACATCCCACCTTTCTTCCATGATGTTCTTTCAGAGAACAAAGCAAGGTGGCCAGGCCACCAGGACAGACTCATTGAGCACCAGGCCCTAAGGAAAATAAAAAAGGGAAAGCCACATTCAGTTCCTTCTCCTGCCTGGGGAGCTTTGTACCTGCTTCCCTCTGTGTCCTAGCCAAAGGGTGAGCTGTGCAGAGTGCACCCACCATTCATCTTACTGAAACAGTGGAGAAAGGAATTCAAGATTTACGAGGCCAGAGCAAGGGAACACGTGTGGGCACGTATCAGCAGCCAAGGGCACTCGCCGGCGGGGCCAGGGCTGCGCTGTACTTCATGTTCTTAAACAGGCCTTGGATAAGGGACAGAAATAGGAATGAGAACCCAAAGGCCGTTTGGCAGATGCCTCCTGGAATCACTAAATGATAATTTCATGGTCTTCTTCCATCCTCCCACGAGTAAAGGAGAAGTTGCATCTTTTGAGCAGGAAGACTGGACGTAACGGAGGTGTTTGGACCTTAGAAAATGTACATATCTTCTTGTACTGGCAGTATCTTTAAGCTTGCTACACACATATGTATATATATGTATGTATTTATATTTGCATATGTTTATGTATGTGCATACACACATACTTCCTAGCATCCTTTTGCTGACTGAAAGTATATCCCCGTTGTGCAGATATCCAGGTGTTCATGAGAGACAGTATTGAACTTCAAGATTTTCCCTATTCCCTAATGAGATAACCTTTCTGCATTTGGCCCATTTTCCTCTACAGCTTCCTCCCTCCCTTCCTTCCTTCCTTCCTTCCTTCCTTCCTTCCTTCCTTCCTTCCTTCCTCTCTCCTTCCCTCCCTCCTTTCCTCATAGTGAGGCCACTGGGAGGGTGGCCAAGGAGAGGTTTGCATCTGAATCCAACAGACCTGTGCATTACTGGGATCCCAAATTCCCAGCAATCTGGAAGAGAGCACTGCATTTCTCTGCCTGACGACCCAGGGGACAGCGTGGTGCATGACCCTGTGAAAATGGGCTGAACGTGTTTGCGTTCGCTGTAAATGCGGTGATTATCAGAGAGCACAGTCTGTCACTTTTAATAGCCCTGACAAGTGCAAGAGGAGAAACTAATGGCTGCAGGTGTTCCCACAACATTGTTGTGTAACTGTGCAGAGATTTGACAGGACTAAAACAGTAAGAATGGGATCGTATTTTTACATATTTTCATCCTATCGAAATAGCATGTTTTGGTCATATTGGTGAAATAAAGACGTAGGCCTAGCTTTTCAAAAGATGACCCTTCTTTTTTGAATTGAGTCCTTCAGGGTTAGTGTGGGTCCTCTGGCACGTGAAGGACAATAAAGATACGCTGCCTCCCCCTCGCAGGGGGTTTTGGAGGGCTCAAGAATTCCCCCTGAATCCCATCCCACATTTTCTGGTTCTTTGCTGGTCAGTACCCATTATCCTCTCAGGCATCCAGCAGCTCCGGCAAGGAGCAGGTCCTGAGCTCTACCCATGACCTGCTGATGCTCAGGGAAGCTTCAGATGTCCCCCTGCATCCCCAGCTGTCAGGGTCATCCCCACTTTCTCCCAGGGTCAGCACTGCTGCCGTTTCCACCTTATGAAGATCTCAGAAGTTCAGAGAATTTAACAGAATAATCCTCCCGGGCTGTGCCCTTAGGGCATCCACCTACTGCTCATTTTTTAGACTTCAGTATTAATTTTTGCTCTTTCTTCTTTTTCCTTTCTTCTTTCCATTCTTTTCTCTCAGGTAACTACACACTGCCTACAACAGCACAGGTAATTAGCACACGTACCTTTTTTCTTAGCGCCTCATTTTACTGTCCTCAGCTCACGTGTCATTTTTAGATGGGCAATGAGACCACCCTATTCACAAGGATGAGTTCCATTGCGTTTGAAGGGGTGATGTCTGGGGTTCTCTAACGTGGAGAAAAAGTTGCTTTGGGATTTCTCAGCAGAAACTCGTGTGCCTGTGCTGCATGGACAGGTCTGCACCTGCAGGAAAACGCATGAACTTGCTTCTCTGTCCTCGAGTATTGAGGCCACCATGGCTCGCACTGTTGTTTGCTGATACACTGGCGTTGGTGTCAGCTCCCTTCTGATTCCTCCTTCCCGGCCACCCATGTCCATCCCCAGCAGGACATCCCACCGGCTGTGTCAGTACTGCTGTGGGACGTATCACCAAACCAAGCACTGGCTTGGCTTAAAAACAACTCTGGGGGAAAAAAAAAGGCTCAGGATGGGAATTCCTTCAGCTGCCATCTCTGCTGAAGTCCATGTATCATGAAGTGGTGGCCCCAGCTAAAGGATGGCCATGAGAGTGTTACTCCAGTCATGACTCAGGAATCTGTGATTGCATGTCCAGATTCAAAGAAAATAAGGCTTCTTTATGCTCTTAGATATTTTCCGTCTTCTAGATCAATTAGAATTTCTCAGATACACTGAGTTGGTTTCATTTTCCTCCAGGCCCAAAATGATGAAGTTGTTATCCCAATTTTTGGGAAAAGTCAATGCTCCACCAGGGGCTTTTCTCCCACTACTCCCGCTCTCCTAATTCCTGCCTCTAACTTGTGCTTTCTTACCCAACCTTATCAGCACATTTTAGGTGGGGGAAGGTGGTGAGACATCTCCTTCAAGCCTACTACTCTCCAGCTTTGAATTAAATTATCTCCCTCTCCGTTGGAAACCCTGTCCCGGCCCTCTCACTAGGCAAGCGCAGAGTAAGGCCAGGGTGGGAGAAGCAGCAGGGAGGAGTGGCCCTGCTTTCCCCATGTACTCTCCATTCCCTGCTTGCTCATCTCCACCAACAAACTGGGCACCAGCCCCCTGGGCCAGAGTAACACCCAGGCGGGAGGGCTGGATGGGACCACGGTGGCTGCTGTTCGTGCAGGGAGGAGTCACGATGCTTTTCCCGAGGTTGCCAACTGCCCCCTGGATCTCTCCGTCTCATAACTTGGTTTTAGAGATGGAGACATTGTCTGCAGCTTCCCTCCCTGTTCCTTATTTCTGCTGTAGCACGGCCCCGTGGTAGAGGGGGCTCAGCATCCCCTGCGGAGGGTGCCTGGGTGCCAAATTCTCCCTGGCGTGCCTTCCCCCAGGCTTTAATTCTCTAACACCTGTGTGGTAAATGCCTGTCCACTCCCAGCTGCTGGTTTTAACAGA